ATGCACTCCCTGCTGCCGCTCACCCCCGTCCGGGCAGCGCCCACCGTGCCCAGCTTGGAGAAGCTCTGGAGAACCTCCCCCTGAGCTCTCCTGGGGAGCCCAGCCAGGCCGGGCTCGGGGATGGAAGACGCCGGCGAGCGGTGGGAGTTGGGGTGGATGGTCCCGGTGCTGCTGGAACGTTGCTGCTTGGAGAAGAGGACCGAGACGGGGTTGGTGTTCTCCTGGCCGGCCCACATGGGCGCCCCCGACTCGGGCACGCCGTAGTACAGATCCTGCTTGTTCACGCCGTAGTTGGGGAAGAGGTAACCGTAATTGAAGTCGTTTTGGTCGTTGAGCCGAGGGGTCTCGTACACGGGGTCCACGGAGCAGTCGCCGATGCAGCCCAAGCTGTTCTGGCGGAAGGTGGACAGGGGTTTGCAGCCCGGGGCCGGCGTGTGCACCCTCCAGGCCTCGGAGTAACGATTCTCCATGCCCGAGTCAGGGCTGCTGGATAGGAAATCGTTCTCGTTGTTGTACTCCAGGATCTTGCCCGTCCTCACGGCGATGTGCGTCTCGATCTCCTCCCGCGCGCGCTCCACGTTGCCCGGTGCGCCCGTGATCACGGGATCCCCGGCTCGGAGTGATGATGTAGGTGTTGGTTTGCTGTTGGATCCTCTTGATGGTAGCTCCTTTAGGTCCCACCACCAACCCCACCACGCGGTAGGGCACGCGGACGCGGATGGTGACCTGGCCTGGCAGGGTGGGGGCGCTGCCAAAGGTGGTTCCTGCCTTGTTGCGGGAGGCTCTGATCATGGAGAAGTGCTCGGCCGCCGAGATGATCTCCCGTCGGGCCATGGCCACGTCCTCCCGCCGCCCTGTCACCATGAAGACAGGCTCCTCACCCCTCACCGGGGTCTTGATGTATGTGTTGGTCTTGGCCCTCAGAGCTTTGATCTTGCAGCCTTGGGGAGAGAGAGGAGACACGGCCGTTAGAAGGACATGTGGTTAGAAGAAGACATGGAGGG